TGGAAGCCGAGTACCCAAATGAGCCAGACAGAGCAGAAAGCACTTTTTCAGTGTCAGTCTAGTTAGTAAATGTAATGCACTAGACAGTGATGTGGAGGAGGCAGACTCCATACACGGTTTCATACGTAGATATGATAGAGCGCAGTAGGCTCAGGAACCTGTACATCAGTAGATTGACAATTGAGAGGCGGGATCAAAGTTCGACCCTCGCAAGTACAAGGTGAATAAACGCAGTGTCACTTGTCATGCAGTAATGGCAGCCTTGTATTGTGTGAAGGGGAGGGGTCATGACGCTGGGGAACGATGGTAACAATAGTTAAGGTTTAAGTAAATAAGAACCAGCGGTAGTTATTCTTTGGGCTGAAATGTAGCCTTTATTGTGATGTATGCTTGCTTTCGGCACGATTGACACTGATTAATCAATTCGTGAATGGATATTGGTGTTCATGGGGAGGTGTGTGGAGTGGGTGAATATACTGGAGGTGGATTGGATGTTGGGAGACGTGGGTAGTGGGTCCAAGCAGGCTGGAGCCACAGTTACAGCGTCCTGGTCTTGTGCCGTCATCCCTGGCTGTGCGCTCTCAATGTTAGCAGCTCCCACATCATTATTATTTAATCTTGGGCTTTGTCGCTCCTTTGCTCGAGCTCTGACAGTTCACCTCAGAGTCAGTACGGGATAATAGACAAAAGTGACCAAGTCAGAAACCTCGCGACTAATGACCTAACATTTAGACCACCACCACACGCATAATATCTTCCATGAAAATAATCGAATTAATAATAAGACACTGCAAAAGGTGCCGTTATAAAGATGGCAATCTTCCAAGGCTTGATGCTGCCTCAAATGAAATGTTGCATAATCTCCGCATCCCCTTCCCAGGCTGGAGAGTAGAGGTAGGCAGTGTGCAGGGAGCCTTCACTCCCGCCCACAGCCTCGCCACACATTTCAACTATTGCTCCACGTGAAAGCACGAGTCTCCAATTACGACACGTTAGAGCCAGACATTGTAGGAAGTGAAAAGTTATCAGTGAAAATTAGGGAACCCAAGTGTGTACCATTAGGGAGGCCCAAGTGTGTACCATTAGGGAGGCCCAAGTGTGTACCATTAGGGAGGCCCAAGTGTGTACCATTAGGGAGGCCCAAGTGTGTACCATTAGGGAGGCCCAAGTGTGTACCATTAGGGAGGCCCAAGTGTGTACCATTAGGGAGGCCCAAGTGTGTACCATTAGGGAGGCCCAAGTGTGTACCATTAGGGAGGCCCAAGTGTGTACCATTAGGGAGGCCCAAGTGTGTACCATTAGGGAGGCCCAAGTGTGTACCATTAGGGAGGCCCAAGTGTGTACCATTAGGGAGGCCCAAGTGTGTACCATTAGGGAGGCCCAAGTGTGTACCATTAGGGAGGCCCAAGTGTGTACCATTAGGGAGGCCCAAGTGTGTACCATTAGGGAGGCCCAAGTGTGTACCATTAGGGAGGCCCAAGTGTGTACCATTAGGGAGGCCCAAGTGTGTACCATTAGGGAGGCCCAAGTGTGTACCATTAGGGAGGCCCAAGTGTGTACCATTAGGGAGGCCCAAGTGTGTACCATTAGGGAGGCCCAAGTGTGTACCATTAGGGAGGCCCAAGTGTGTACCATTAGGGAGGCCCAAGTGTGTACCATTAGGGAGGCCCAAGTGTGTACCATTAGGGAGGCCCAAGTGTGTACCATTAGGGACGCCCAAGTGTGTACCATTAGGGAGGCCCAAGTGTGTACCATTAGGGAGGCCCAAGTGTGTACCATTAGGGACGCCCAAGTGTGTACCATTAGGGACGCCCAAGTGTGTACCATTAGGGACGCCCAAGCGTGTACCATTAGGGACGCCCAAGCGTGTACCATTAGGGACGCCCAAGCGTGTACCATTAGGGAGGCCCAAGTGTGTACCATTAGGGACGCCCAAGTGTGTACCATTAGGGACGCCCAAGCGTGTACCATTAGGGAGGCCCAAGTGTGTACCATTCCACAAGTTGCTGCTGCTGCTGCTGGAGTTACCAGATCAGCCTGACTGTTGTGGCTCTGTAGTCCTGCGGGCTGAGATAGAACTAACATGCAAATCACCGACATGAAACAGACTGTAGGAGCCCCGGCCCGAGCATTTCCTGTTGATACCTTGATCAGTTAGGTTGTTGCTGATCACAACCCGGCTGGTCTGACACTTCCTGTAGAAACTTGTATATGTTTCATCTTGACAGCTTCAACGTTTGTTCCAGCAGTATTTCTTATGGACCCGCTAGTAGATGGTAGAGTAGTGGTGGGGATCTAGTGTTCACCTAGTTGTGTTTCCGGGGGTTGAACTTTGCTATTTCGGTCCGCCTCTCAACTGTCAATCAACTGTTTACTACATTCACGTTACATTACAGTCAGCACGGGGGGGGGGGGCACTTAAGACTTGCTTTACACCAGTCTCTGCTGTGTCCCCTCTCCTGTGTCTATTCTCATAAATATCCTTGGGTCCCAACCACGTGGACTGGACGGTAGAGCGACGGTCTCACTTCATGCAGGTCAGCGTTCAATCCCCGACCGTCCAAGTGGTTGGGCACCATTCCTCTCCCCCCCCCCCCCCACCTTTCCCATCCCAAATCCTTATCCTGACCCCTTTCTAGTCCTATATTACTGTAATAGCTTGGTGCTTTTCCCTAATTATTCTCTTCTTCGCTCCATTTTGTAAATAATTTTTAAAATTTTTATTATATTTAATTATTTATAAAAATTGTGTGGCGTTTGAAGGATGATACGGCACTATGGCTCGTGTTCCTGTTTACATGTGGTATGTTAAGTGTTCAGTATTATAATACCTGGCGTCGTCTGGTCAAGTATTTCTTCACCCTCTTCCTGTAGTCTTTATACGGCGCCAGTGTCCTTGTTATGGTGCCAGAGGAACTATTTGTTCATCAATGGGTGGCCTTGTGGCAGGATGGTCACCAAGACGGAAGTCAGTGTTGAGGCAAGTTGTGACTGATAGATGACGTATGGTAGCTACTGGTGCGGCGTCAACATACAACCATGTGCAGGGGTGAAGTGTGAGAGAGAGAGAGAGAGAGGATCTCAAGCTTGTCATCATGATTTTGGCAGACGTTTCCTTACTCGTTGACCTTAAGAAGTAACAGCATTAGCCACGGGTGGGTGAGGGTTAGAGGTGGTGGGTACAGAGCAGTAAAGCAAAATGCTACCACCAGTTTTTAGTCCACTCCCATAAAGTACAGGAAGCTCGCGTTGCACCTTCTTATTGGTAACCATTCTATGCTAACCTTCAAGATTATTGTACTCTTCTGTACCCCTCATCCTTTATCCCCCCCCCCATCCTAATCCTCATTGGTTAATTCCTTCAACATGTACGAAATCCTGAGCACAAATGCCATGTCGTTTTTTGTACCATGTGAAATGTGCTTTACGAATGACACTATTTAGAATGCCGAGGGTGTGGAATTCTCAAAGTTCATATTTGTTTATATCAGTTCTCCTTCAAATGGTCGTATCAACCTAATTTTGCTACATAAATTGTGCCAATATCTGTTTCGCTGCTCTAATGGTAAACTACTGTGTGTGTGTGTGTGTGTGTGTGTGTGTGTGTGTGTGTGTTTCAACACAACCTTCTAATAATAAACTGTTTTGCATGTGTTGCAAATCAATGATGCAACTCAAACCCAGTGTCGCGGGGGGACACAGCTTGGGAACCACCTTTATCAAGATAATTCATCGCTTGTTTACTGAAATAATTTATCCCTTTGGCCTATCTGTGTTTCTAGATTTTGTTACTGTTTATCCTGTTGAAAAAGGGCCGCTTTGCCCACTTTGCCGATGATTTTAAATCTCATGTGTGTAGTGACGGTGGGTTCAGTTATCTTTGAAAGGTTCTTGGTTTAGGTCTCCTCTATAACCAGCCTTGTGTCAAGTCTTTAGTACGTGTTTATACTTTAAAATATTTGTAGAGTGGAGGTTGGTGTGTGGTGGTGGTGAGGGGGGGGGGGATGGTGACAGCCACAGCGGGCCAGAGTTTTGAGGTGGGTCTTGTGTACAGAATACGCCAGGTCAGCGTCAAATGGCGATGGTGTATTATAATAGTTGTGAGGGTGTGACGTGTTGGCATATGGTAATGGTATGGAGCCATGCTGGGCTGTGGCGGCCAGGGTTATAATAGCGTTATGGTGGTGGTGGTGGTGAGGGTCCTGGAAGTGTGTAGTGGTTGGTAATTGGTGGTAATGGCGGGGAGGGTGGTGGGCGGTGATTGCAGGGTGCGTGTGGCTGGCTGACGTCCCCTGGCGGGTCCCTGGCGGGTCCCTGGCAGGGGAGGTGCGGGGTGGGTGCCCACAAGAATCTGGGCCTATATTGATTCCTGCTGTGCTCCACCAATTGCACGAGCCTGACGTAAGATGTTATCGATCTGGCTGTAGGACAGTCGGGTCACTTAGCGTTGACTAGCCACTGCCCCGGCCACATCACCACCCACCTTAATTAAACGAGGCAGAATTCAGTCATGTATATTATTTTGGTACGGTGACATGTATTCCCCTTTTACATTATTTTCATAAGAGGGGTGTTGATAGTGTTGAGATGTGAGGGATGTTGAGATGGAGGGCATGTGTGAGGCTGGGAGGTGGCACTTGAGGTCGTAGGCGGTAGGGCATGAAGCAGCAGCAGGCAGGCAGGCGTCTCGCAATGCGCCAGGCACCAGTAGAAGGAGGAGCTGGAGCCGTGCTGCTTTAAACTGTGATCGATATATCCCCCCATTCCGCGGCGCGTCCTCCATGTAGTCTGGTTCACTGGCTGGGGTGAGGGAGGGAGGGTGTCGGCGGCCCTGGCTGCGTCTCCTTCTCCTGTCCTCACCTGTCTACTGTTAACTTGCTATACCTGCGATAGTATATTTGAACGGGTGAAGCTGGCCAGGCTAGCGGGGCAAGAACGCAGGGCTGTGTGGTACGTCCCTGGGAAGCTGAGTCAGACCCGCGTGCGCATGCGCCGTCCGGGCCTCGCTGAAAATAGCAGGTGTAGCTAGCACCAGTTTGTGTGTAGCGTTGTGTCGGGAAGGGCTTTGCTGCCTCCAGTTTACTTCTCTCGCCTCTTTCTTTTGCCCCAACCACTAAATATTTGCTAAGGTAGTTGTCCCAGGCATTGCTCTCTGCTCCATATGGAGTCAAGTGATAATTATATTCAACCCTGTAGTGTTTACAGCCTGAAAATGACGAGTGAAAGTGGGTGCAATTTGATGGAGGGTCTATGGCTGGCTGGTTGAGCCCAGCACCAGCCCGTCCGCTGATGTGGCCAGTAGGCCCAGGCCAAGTGCGCCTCCTGGAGGCTTACCCAGCTGGTGAGGTGGTGCTGTGAGCGCAGGTGCTCACTGTTCTCACCTGCCAATACCGACGCTCCGGACAGGTGCATCTGCCAGTAATATACCCTACTAAAAAGGTCTTTGTTACACTGCCAGCGTCGTCCCTGCTGGTGCTGGCTTGGGAGGCGACTCAAGGACGCCCTTTGTGCGCCCACGCCGCCACGCCCCGCCCGACGCCCCCATGACCATTGCTGGAGGCGTCGTACAGGCCTCACACGCCAGTCCCTTTACAGGAGCCGCCCATAGCAGTGAGGACGCCATAACGGAAGTGTTACATAATGTGTGGAGACAAAGCAGCAGGTTGTGTGCATAACCGATGCCTGCCTGTACACCTTCACGGTCGCTCTTCCACCACACAGTCAGCTGATCCGCACACCTTTCACCAGGCAGTTTGGTAATGAGAATTACTGCTACCGCCATGGTCACAAGCTCCCGGGTCGTCGCTACCACAACCACCTTGCCGCCGCCGCTCTCAACAATGATACCCTGAAGGGAGACCCTTCTCGAGGCTACTACCCCACTGCCCAGCCTTTTTGATCATACGTGCAGTATTAGAAGGTGAAATTCTAGTTACAGCATTATCATATGGATGACGTTGAGTCCTCATGCTTCTAGGGAGTCGTTACAAGAATTCAGATTAATATAAACAAGGAAGCTTAAACTGGCGTCATCATTCTGAAGGTTTAGTGTCATCACGAGAAACATGTCAAGCACAATACTTAAGTATACTCTAATGAAGGCTTTCAAAATATGGTGGAGCAGAGATCTGAAAAGAGCCATTACAAGTATACAGGATTTTTTTTTTGCCTTATCCAGGAGGATAATATAAAGAATTTCGTTACACAGAACCACCAGATGTTGTTACTGAATCTCTGGAAACAAGATATAGCCATGATATAGCCATGATATAGCCAAGGTCGGAAGAATGTGCGTCTTAACAGGATGACTGGCCTGGTCACAGGAGACTTGGCGAGGCGAGGGCCTGGTAACTAGGTGACGGCCCCAGCTTGGGGTTCATTCACTGCCCCAGTGACTGTGTTGCTCACACTTGAACAATTTTGGTCTTGCCTCGTGATAAATCCTAATAAATGTAAATGTATAATTTGTGTGGAGATACGTATGTAAAGTGTGAGGCAGCGTTGTGCAAGGCGTGAAGCGAGTGTTGTGTTAGTACATGGAAGAACCGCTGGCGTCCTGGGAGAGGAAGCCCATCATTACCATGGCTGCTGCTGCTGCTGCTGCCAGGCACGTCTCCACGGCTAAGCTGGTTGCTTCATCCTTCACTGAAAGCTTTCCATGCGAGGCCACCAGCCTCCTCCACAAGTGATAAATCACAGCTTGGGGAAGCCTCCTTTACTTGGTTCAGGCAAGATAACAGGCCCACGGAAGCTTGGGGAAGAATCCTTCACTCGGCTGTCGCAAGCTTGGGATGTGGAGAAGTGTTGTGTTGACCGTGTTGTCACGTCCGCTTGACACGTCCACTTGACACGTCAGGTTCTGGGCCAGCCACGGCCAGTCACTCGCCAATTTAAGAGTTTACAAAAAAAAGTTGTGTGGATAAACCAGATTCGGTGTGCGTATGTTGGTCAATTTGGTCAAACGATGTGGAAAAAAAACTTTTTTGGGGCAAGACGTGTGATAGTAGACGTGGGAGTGGTGATAACTGTGAAATGTGAGAAGTGTGGGGCGGGTGTTTCCCCCCGTGATCTGGGGCGGGGGGGCATCCTCTCCATGGCTGGCATGCACGGCATTTTTCACCATTTATCATTCATGTTAAGTTATTTTTGCTTTTGTTTAGTTTGTGTTGGCAAATGTATTCCAGTGAGGAATCGTACTGCAGCAAGACTTGCTCGTCACATTGGTACCGTGGTAAAGTATATCACATTAATATTATGTACATACATCCTTTAGTTTCTTTATAGAGTAAATTTTTGTTTGTAGTCAATATTAGGCATGTTGTGAAGCGTTGCGAACTTGGGTATGAGAACGTTTGACTTGAGGCGATTGTTAGTTGACGAGGGCGTGACTCTGGCCGCCCACTGTGGTCTCCACCCTCAGCCGCCCACTGTGGTCTCCACCCTCAGCCGCCCACTGTGGCCTCCACCCTCAGCCGCCCACTGTGGCCTCCACCCTCAGCCGCCCACTGTGGCCTCCACCCTCAGCCGCCCACTGTGGCCTCCACCCTCAGCCGCCCACTGTGGTCTCCACCCGCTCCAAGCTCTCATTAACTCTACATCTGAAACGTCAGCTAACCCCCCGTTTTTTCTTGTAACTTGAATCGCTTGAAATTGTAACATGTTTTAGTCCTTCCTGCTCGGGCCCCCCCCCCCCTCCATGGGCAGCTGGGCTGTGAACTAGAGAGTACGGAAGGGCGGTGTTGGGTTGCAAGAGCACAAGTGTTTGGGGGAGAGGGAGGCGGCAGTTGTGAAGCCAATTACACACACCCAGTACAACCGTAGTGTGTTGTGCGCTGCTAGTTGTACTTGCGGGGGTGAGCTGTGGCTCTTGAGGGTCTTCCTTAAACCCTCTTCCATCTAATGTTGAACCTTTCATATTGGGATTGTAGTATTCATATAGGGATTGCACTTCATATAGCCAATTAAACTAATTGGCTTCTGCTATTACTCGAAGAATTATCCTACTGTAGACATTTTAGGTAATTGGCAGATTGTTCGTGGATTGGATGACATTTGTAGGTAATTGGACCGAGTAGTGAATTGTACTATTCACTATTCATATCGTATCATGTTGGGTTGTACTACTCAAATTACTTCTACTGTCCCGTCTTGAGTACTGCTCGGTACTCACTTTCACCTTCAGAGCAGGAGAGATTGCCGAAATAGAGGGAATACAGAGAACATATACGGCATACATATACCCGATAATGCCCCTAAATTATTGGGATCGTCTCAAAGATCTCCAAATGTACTCACTAGAAAGGAGACGAGAGAGATATCATATAATATACACAAGGAAAATACTGGAGGGCCAGGTCCCAAATCTACACAGTAAAATACTACGCACTGGAATGAACGATATGGAAGACAATGCAAAATAGAACAAGTGAAGAGCAGGGGTGCCATAGGCACAAGCAGCGAACGCTGTATAAACATCAGAGGTCCGCGGTTGTTCAACATCCTCTCAGCAAGTATAAGAAATATTGCCGAACAACCGTGGACATCTTAGAGAGAACTAGATAGTTTTCTTAAAGAAGTGCCGGACCAACCTGGCTGTGATGGATATGTGGACCTGCGGGCTGCTCCAAGCAACAGACAGCCTGTTGGACCAAGCTCTCAGAGGCCGAGCTTGGAGTAGAAATACTCCCAGAACCCCATCAAGCAGGTATATCTACATTTAAAGCTGTGTATGAAGTTTTCCTTCAATACGTAGTGCATTCAATTTGTTCACCCATGTTACAGAAACACATTCCTTTCAATACCCCCCCCCCCCTTGCGTGGCGTAGCTAATAAGTTATTAGTCGAGCAGTGTACCGGAATCTTGGGAGGTTGTACATGTGTTGACATTTTGAATTGTGCATCACTTGCATCGAACAATCATCCGATTCACACACAGAGATCACACTAACGTGATGCATCAAATGAACAAATGCTCCCGGACGCAGGTTCGAATCCTCGTCACGGCCCTTGTAGATTTGTTCATTTAATCCTCCGATTACCTTAAAATGTCTATAGTAGGATAATTCTTCGACTCTTAATAACAGAATTAGTTTACAACCTGAAAAGGATCACAACAGTTTTTTTTAAATTGCACTCGTTTTAAAATTTACTAATTTTTTTACCGTTGATAATGGGAAGGATTGCGTCATTGAAGACCTTGACTTTAGCAAAGTCTTACAAACTGGACATCACGAGAGACAGTTAGAAATTAAAGGGATCCGATATTGAGGGGTTGGGGGGGGGGGGGTGTTAACTCGTGCCCCAGTAGGCCTGGTATTTTCTTGGGCATATTTAAGACCTGGCCTTCCAGCAACTTCCATATTATATTACCCCTAATGTGATGTCTCCTTTCCAGAGTACATTTTTAGTGCTTCGAGACGGTCCCAATAATTTAAACAGTTGAAAAAGAATTGTGTTCTCCGTATTCCCTCTTTCAATTCTTATTTTAAGAGGAAAAATTAGTAGAGTGGTACAGGCGGTTTGAAAAGACCAGGTGATTTGAAATCTGAGCATTTTATTGGAATGTCATAATGTTAAAGGTCTCATAATCTTCAGTATCATTTTCCTGATGGAGGTGGAGGCCTGGTTGAGGACCGGGCCGCGGGGACACTAAAGCCCCGAAATCATCTCAAGATAACATCTCAAGGTAACCTTTGCTGGGTTATCGTCGCTGAACTCGCATGTTGAGGATAACATGGAGAGATAATTATCCTCTCATAGGCTGACATCATTATTCCCAGATCCTTTGCAGTGTTTTTTTTCCTATGAGAGAGTCTGGCATTGTGTCAAGACTGGTGGGGACGACGGGTGGTGAAGCTACCCTGACTCTACTGCATTTGGCCTTTGTTAGAACTTCCTCACTTGTTGCTGCCGCCAAGTAATGTTAAATGTTAAATGGAGGAGATAGACCGGTGCTACAAGGGTGGTGACGTGGGCCAGCTGAGCTGTGTAAACAATCTAGCCTTGAGGTGAAGGTTGGCCAGCACAACCTATCTTGCGCTCCTGCCTGCTTGCCTCACACCTGCTTGCCAGCCCCACACCTGCTTGACAGCTAGCCAGCCCCACACCTGCTTGACAGCTAGCCAGCCCC